GTTAATAATCACACAGATAATATAATGGGGTGAGGTTGATTAGGGGCCGCTAACATCTTCGAATATCTAGTTTTGAGTTGAGCTGCTCTTTCCTACACAAATAGCAACTCGTAAGAGGGCGGAGACTAGTTCCCCCGTTGTTCCTCCAATGATTAAGTCAGTGATGTACTTGAGTGGGAGAGTGATGAACTGTGCGAGTTCTCAAGTATAGTGGAGTGGAGAAAAATTCTGAGAGATTTCTTACCTTCGCATTAGGAATAATTTTTCCTCTTATATCCATACAGGAAGGGCATTTTAGTCTTTTTTAACATGTCTGAGCTAGTGGCTGAGTCAACGTCAACTTTACAGGTGTCAGCTGTGGAGTGATCACGGAATGAGCGTGGTCACTTCGGCATTAATAAGACGAGATAGGCAGCGTACGAAGCTGACGTGTTCCAATGTATCATAAATAGTACCAAAGATGGAGAAATGATAACGCCTATAAAGCATTTAATGTGATATTGACGCGCTGTCAGCGTGAGATTCGAGGTCGAAGTCACTTTTTGACTTGTATCGAGGGGTGTCGAGAAGTACCATCTTTCGAGTTGACCCAGCGAGATGCTGACTAATTAACTAATTGAGTGGACTTGCAGCAAGTTGTCTTTTGATGAGAGGACCGACAAGTACCGCTATTCGAGCCGACCTAGCGAGATGTCGACTCGGCGAGTCAACTAGGTCGGGAATCTGGTTGTCTCATATGTCGAGTTGACTGAATGGTGCGTGATAGGGTATATCCGCCTGTTGTTATTAAGAGGCCATAATTTGGCGACCAAAAACACTAGGATTCTTATTCATTTGTATGTTATATACATGTACAAGGCTATGAAGATCATAACAAAAATTCAAATTAGTTACAGTGATAAGATTATAGATGGAGAGATATCTAGGGTTGTGTGTTGAGCTGTTGGTTGAGCCAATATACACGGAGAAACCTGTTGAGTTGGTTGCAACCTTCATGGAGCTAACAATTCTCTCTCGTTGTCTCTCATCAAATATGATCTCCAACTCTTCTTATATAAGTCTTGATAGAATAGGAAAGAGATGCTCTAATTAGAGTTTTAATAGGAGATCAAATCAATCAATGAACAACTAAGATTAAATATGAAAATCTGCCAAAATGTGTCATAACCATCGATGGTGAGTCATGATCATCGATGGTACGTTGATGATCATTGATGGTTGACTGTATTCCATCAATTGTATAAATTCTGGTTTCTGAATTTCTCCGGTGGTTGACTGTAGACCTTCTATGGTCCTTGCAATCATCGATGGTCGACAGTAGACCATCGATGGTCTGATTTCTAGTTTCTGTTTTCTCCGATTATTTCATGTAGCCTATCGATGACTTGATTGACCATCGATAGTGCCTCGTAACCATCGATGGTTCAAAGGCTGAAATTAACGTTCATATTAATTTTTGTATCGTTTTTGAACTGCAACTTGTTCGTACCTATTTTTACTTAAAATATATGATCATCTCGCAAATATATTAGTAGCAAATAAAAGTTTGTCATTAATCAAACAAGAGATATTACATGAACACGTTCTGCATGAATAATGTTCTAATATTCACAGCATGTTGAAATATTAGACACGTTACGTCCTGTGACTCGGAGGAGGGAAGGGAGAGTGGGGGCGGGGGGGGGGGTTGGGTCCCTAAGAGCATCTCCAACGTTACTTCAAAAAGCCATTTTGACGCCAAAAGAATACCAAAACTGCCTCCAACATAGCCAAAACCTGCGCTATTTTAGGGCGCTGCTACAATGTTGCGCAACACTGTAGATATGCAGTTTTTTCTTTTTCCCAATTTACCCTTAAAATTGGTTATAACAAATCAAATATTCCAACCATATCTCATTTCATCCATCATATTTCCTATTTGGTGTAAAATTTGGTGTAATGGGTTGGAGATAGAATAGTGATTTGGTGTAAAAACTACACTAACTTGGTGTAAAAACTACACCATTTTGAGTTTTTGGGTTGGAGATGCTCTCAGCACCTCTGCAACACACTGCTGTTACGTGCGATCTAGGTCACATGAAACGAAGAGATACCTCTGCTTGGTAATCACAAGGTTTAAATGCTAATAGAAAGTTTCACGTAATAGCATCTAGCACATGGGATAGAACTACAATTATACGATGCGCAATATATAATACATTACGTTGGCCATGTTACAAGAATGAAAGAGTATTGCGATACATAGTTGCAGGGAGAACAATGTTGTTTTTGATTCTTTGATCAAGTTGCTCAATTAAAATGCTCCTAGTTCTTGCTCTCTTTTCGTCGCTTCTAGCAGTCACAGGTCAAATATTAATTATTTTAATTACCATTGTTGTTGTTTTGCTGGATTATAAACAGTAACTATATACCACAGACTATAAGTATAAATACTCTGGCTAATACTCATCATGGGCGTGAGTCGTGCGGTACCATTTGACACTCATAAAATACTATTAGAAGTACTACCGTTGTTTATAATCTTAAAGTTCTTGGCACCCTCATGTTTTGTATTTAATTTTTCATAGCAATAAAAGTTAATCAAAGCCAGCTGGGGTCACAGTAATATTCAAGTCTATAAAATAAGAATTAAGTAAAACATGCTGAGATGTGACCAGATACAAATAGGTACAAGCCACCTACTTAGTTACAAAATGACAGAAATTTTTTAATTCCATTTTATCTACATCACTACGAGTCACGCTATTGCTACAGATTGATCCAATCAATCTTCAATTGATTCTTGAGTAACAGAATCAATCATCATTATTGGAGCAAAGTGGGCATTTTTCTTGCAATCTATTCTCTTTACACCTTCAATTAGATTTCAAGATATAAATATGTGGATTCGAATAAATAAAAAAAGATATATAGATATGGAAAGAAGATCATAGATTGGTGCACATCTCGAATCATATTATATAAGGCTAATTAAACTCCGGGTCCTTTTATAAGCTGCTATATGTAATCATATTGTTATATTGTATGGTGTAAATTGTGTAATCCTCAGACTTAGGGTTCTTCTCAGATTATATTGGGTCACTTGTTGAGTGTTCTTTTAATGGGTTAAAACTTAAACTTTAAATTCATGGGCAGTAAAATTTAAACCCGGATTGCTTCAATATCATATAAAACATCTCTGTTATACACTAAAACTCTAAAAGTGTGGCAAGACGTGAGCGTTACTTCATACTCTCTATATTTGTATTTAGACAGTTTATTAATTATGTTGTGATATATGGAGGATAGAAGGTAGTTTGTATATACATATTTTTGTTAATTAAAACTGTTGATGTCAAGTGATCACACAATCAGTATATATCCGTGTTTGGATGAGTTTGTTGAGGATTGATGAGGGGCCACTTTCTTCTCTGACTTTATGTCTGGTTCTTGAGTTAGGTGGCTGAAAAATTTACACGTGTAGAAAATCGTGAGAGGATGGGGTTTGGTTCCCCCGTTGTACCTCCGACGATCAAGTTAGCTAATAAACTTGAGTGGAAAAATAAGAACTGTGTGAGTTCTTGTATGTGTGCAGTATAATTTTGCAGATATCTCTTAAAAGATCAGATTTGTGAACCAGTTTTTTAACTAGTTTTGGAACCCGTTTAAAGTTCAAATAGTACATGTATATATACCATGGGTAGAAAGTTAGATTGGTCACTTCGGCCAAGCATTGAGAGGCGGTGGTGAAGTATGGGCTGGCGGCTGTGTCAGCACCTACTTTACAAGTGTTGGTAGGTGATTAGGGGGAGAATCACTTCGGTATTAAATGGAAAATGATCGCAGGCATGACGGTGTTGACGTGATCCGATGAGTCATGAAGACTATCGGGCCTAGAGTCCTGATGACACCTGCCAAGCATTAAATGCGATGCTGACACTTTACCAGAGAGGGAAGCTCGAGACGAAAATTGTCCTTTAGCTTCGCCGAGAACTAACGCCTATCGAGTCGTCCTCTTGGGGTGCTGAACAAATGGTCGAGTGGACTCCTGGCGAGTCGTCTTTGACGAGAGGGTCGACTGGTACCGCCTTTCGAGTTGACATGAAGAATATTGACTCTACGAGTCGGCTAAGTCGAAATCCTCGCTGGACTTGGGTCACCAAGTTGATTGGGACCTTATTTGCAGCAATACACATGTCCGTTGCTTGACAATAAGTTGCATTTAGGCGAGTGAGAACATCATAACAAAAACAATAATGAGGTTGATTGTTTCATCCCTGCTATTTTAGCATTCTTAGACACATACATGCACATTGCGCATTTGGGAATTTGATATTGACAATTGGACTTTTGAGATGCGTGATGCATGTTTTATGGTCTAGTTTTCTCTTATTTTGACTTTTTTTTCCTGTTCTTTTCTTTTTATAACAGAGGTTGTAGCCCTGTCTTTAACACGAGGCCTCACACGTTAATCCTCTGCTTTTACCAATCAGGCCTTGCTCTTTTCTTAACCTTGTGACTTATGACTTTTACTTTAAACACCATTAAAAATTATGTTAGCTTAGTTGGATTTATTCCCCTACAGTGTGTTCATGAGAATTTGATTCTCTGCTAGCTTGGCAGCTCTAGTGCTCTCCTGACCTCTCATAGCGCACGTGTTGAGGGCCCTAAAATACTCCGCTTCATGCACCCTTTCCCTTTTTAGTCTAGTGCTCTTAACCATTGTAAATAATAAGATTTTTTTTTCTTCAGATATTACTCCCTTAAATCTTTCATGTTTTGAACCCAGTTCCTCAAATCATTGAAATAAAAATTAGAGGAATTAATTTGCAACTTATGAGAATTGGAGAACCTAATAGTAATTTTAATGACTTGATGAACCAATTCCAGAATTATTCCAACAAACCCAGAAACAGTTTTTCAGGGACCATGAGCTAGACTTAGGTACAACTGCCCAATTGAAAATTAATCAAATTGATCACACTAGACAGAAATGACACAAGTTGGCAGCAGTAACCATTTTATCTTTTATCTTAAAGAATATGTATATATTATTTGAGCCCACCTGTGCCTGAACATTTTTGAACGGATGGCTGTTGCGAAGAAGAGTTTGGGGTTCATAATTGATTCTTCACCACAATCATGGTAGGCTGCTGATGGAGGTGGGTTTTTTTTTTGCATTTATTGAAGTACACCGATCAGGACTCCCATTTTGACCAGCTTGTTTATAAGCGCTAGTCCTTTTGCTCGTTGCAAATTTGGAGAAGCAAAGCGAAGCTCTCATGGAGTCATCAATCATCAAGCAAAGATACTCTTTCTGTATATTGGCGAGCTTCTTTGGCTTCCTCTTCCTCTCTCTCTACCATGACCAAGGCCAGCATCTAATCACTATCGTTTCATCTCTTAAAAGCTCGAGCTCCGCCGATGATTATAAAGTCTCAATCACAGAGATCAGACAGGTCAATATCATCTCATCTCCTCGAAATGTTTCAACTTCGCAAGTCAATACTACTATCTCAACTTCACAACTCAATACCACTATTGAGATTGTTTCTTCACGTGAGAAGATGGAGGTGTCGTTGAAGTTGAACAGTAGTGTTAGCGAGAAATTGGAGGCGTTGATAGAAGAGGAGGAGGAGGAGGAGGAGGAAGAGGAGGAGGAGTGTGATATTTTTGATGGGATGTGGGTTTATGATCCTAAGAATTATCCATTGTATCATGGTTATCAGTGTCCTTTTCTCAGTAATCAAGTGAGCTGCCAAAAAAATGGGAGGCCAGACTCTGATTATGAGCACTGGGGGTGGAAACCAAGAGGCTGTGACATTCCAAGGTATGCAACTCCAATTATCTTGGTTTAAGAAATGGGTTTTATATAGTTTTAGTTTGCTTTGTGTTATTTTATTATTATTATTATTATTTTTTTTTGGTAATTTTGAAGGTTTAATGGGACTGATATGCTAGAGAGATTGAGAGGTAAGAGGGTGGCAATTGTTGGGGATTCTCTTAATAGAAACCAGTGGGAATCCATGGCATGTCTCCTTTACTCATCCATTAAACCATGGCGAGCATTTGTGAAGTTAAACGATGTGTACAAAATCTTTCGAGCTCTGGTACGGTTTTACCTTTTAGATTCTTTCACTTCCAAACCATACATAAAACTTTTATCTTTTTGGCTTGGTGCTAAGATATTTTGTTACAGAACATATCTTCTCTAAAGTACTAGGAACCTAAAATCAGCCCTTGAAATGCAATTTCTATTGACTTATGCCCAAGTACTAAAAGAAAAATAAAAGACGAGGGTGTTCATAGGTAAAACATTTTTAATACCGAATGTGTTCGTTTGCTTTTCAAGATCGTACTAATCAACTTGCTGAACAATTCAAAGATCGAATTTTAATACTTATCGGTGATTTATTGACAATTCAAGGAGTATGATTTCACGCTTGAATTCTACTGGAGCCCGTTTCTGGTCAAAGTAGACCAAATGAAGAATGGATCAAAAGTGTTGAAGCTCAACGAGCTTATAGAACCATGGAAATGGCAAGGCGCTGACGTCTTGGTGTTCAACACTGGACACTGGTGGACTCATCATGGGAGATCACAACCGTGGGTTTTTTTTTTTAAAACTCAAATATCAAAAAACAAACTTATGTGTTTTGAGTCAGAAAAGTGAATTATGAGCTGATTTGAAATTGAATTCTGTAGGTGGGATTTTTATAAGAAGGAAGGAAAGCTGGTTGAGGATATGGATGGGGACCTGGCATTTCAGACTGGACTCAATACTTGGGCGAGTTGGATTGATCGAATGGTGAATCCGAACAAGACGAAAGTTTTCTTTCGCAGTATCTCTCCTGAACATAAACCGTACGTATGCTTTGCACTTAAATTAGAACTAGAGAGGTATACCCACAATTGGGCGAGAGTACAAGTGGTCTATCCGCAATCAACAACAGACCAACTTAGATCGCAACAAATGATAATTTCACAATTGAAGATGAGCATTTTGATTTGCAATAGAATGTTTTTTTTTTTTTTTTTGCCCCAAACAAAAAAGATAAAACATTTTTGCAACTAAATGAACACTAAAATTGTATTTGTAAATACATTTCAATAGCAAAATGTGAGTATCCAGATGACATTTTGGCGCTAATTTCCTGCAAAAAATGATGAATTTACAATTCCAGTATAGCAAACAACCCCGCTGTTATTGACAATGTGGTTTAAGCTCCGGCAATCCTCTGTTGGCTTATAGCTGTAAACTAAACGGTCAGAACTCACTCATTTTTACCGAAACTTCAAACAATTGCAGGTATAATCTTCACTGGTGCTTCAACCAGAGCCATCCGATCACCAATGAAACCTACAGACAGTCATTTTCACGATCGATGATATCCATAGTAGAGCAAACTATAGAGAAAATGAAAACTCCAGTTAAATATCTCAACATCACGAGACTATCAGAATATCGGCGTGAAGCTCATACAGCTATATACACCGTGAGGCAACAGAAGCTCTTAACTGATGAAGAGAGAAAGCAACCTGAGAAATTTGCAGACTGTAGCCACTGGTGTCTTCCAGGATTGCCTGATACCTGGAATTCTTTGCTTTATACTTCGATCCTCAGACCTCCCTCCGTTGTTCCATAAGTTTTTGGTGTTTTTGTGTCATATTTAGTGTTGCAGATGCCCCTTTTTTTGTGGCATTGTACATTATTTCTTGTATCATAGCGATTCATTAGCCTGAGAGCTCTACGGGAACATGTCAGATCAAAACCTGCCTGATAAGCATATTGCTTTGTATGGAAGATTTGAATAGATTGGGATTCTTTGCAACTTCGGATTTTTTTTTCCCCTACTATATTATAAGTTTCACACTATTTTATACTACATGACCCAAACGTGACAGATTTTTCATCGTGAGTCATATTAATGACTCATACGAAGTAAAATGTTTCCATCGCATCATTCTAAGCATAATAGTAACACAAAAGTGTATAGTTTAGTTACAAAAGTGTATAGTTTAGTTGGCTTGTTCTTTACACGTAAAACTCATGCTTTCCGTCCGCAGATATCTCAGAGGGAAGCCCTTCACTGGATGATGGAATATGAGCAACTCCGTTTATATGTTTCATATCGACAAAAGTTATAAGAGCTTCTACGATAATTGATACAAGATGGGGAATAAAGTATCAAGTAATCATGATCATTACAACAATAGTAATAAAGCACCAGTAGTAGGTAGACACTGGTATCAGAGCATTAATGACCAAGGTCCATTAATTTCCTATTCTTTGGGTCCAGTTCTCTGTACATAGAATTATCTAGGACAAATTTTGAAAAGCACCTACTTTTAAAAATTAAATAGCAAAAACGACCCCATGTAAAAATAATGAGCAAAACCGACCCTTTTCGTTTGAAATGGGTCGGTTTTGCTATGTGAGGTAGAATTTGTGAAATGCACGGGACTGCTAGTCCCGTGCATTTCATTTCATTTTCTTCGTTGCTCTGTCTTCGTTCCCTCGACCTTTTCACACCCAAATTCCACCGCCGGCCGGCACCCGACATGCCCACACTCCTCGTCCCCCTCGGCAGCGGGCCCACCTTCCCACTGTACAGGTACCCCAAAACCCCGACCAGCGCGTCGAACCCAACTTCAAAACCCTTCACCAAATCCTTCAACTCGAGCTTTATCGGGTTCCCCTCTTCCTTCTCCTTTGATTTCTTCGAGAAAACGCCTCTGAGAAATGGGCTTCTTGCGGAGAGAACGCAACGGTGGGCCGCCGACCTCGTCGGGGCCCACGGAGATGACGGCGTCGGTGAAGGGGATGAATTCGGGGGAGCGGAAGGCGGCGGCGAGGTTTTCGGAGAGGCGGCGGAGGGCCTCCACGTCGGCGTGTGGGGTCCACGAGTTGGGGTCCGCGTCGGAGGAAGAGGGGGAGGAGATGATGATGATGCTACTGCTGCTGTTCGAGAATTCGTGGGTTTCCATTTTTGAGAGGAAAAGGCTTGGGAAGAAGAAGGGGAGATGGTCAAGAGCAAAATGGGGCTTTTTTTTTTGCGAGTCGGGAATTAAAACGAAGTGTACGGGACTACTAGTCCCGTACACTTCGCAACAGCCAAACTTACAGCAAAACCGACCCTTTTCAGGGGAAAAGGGTCGGTTTTGCTAATTATTTTTCTAGACGGTCGTTTTTGCTTATTAAATTTAAAAAAGGGGCTTTTTTAAAAATTTGTCCAATTATCTATTTAAGAGTTTGGAGAGGAGAAAACGGTCCAAAGCTGGTAAGATCATCAAGTGCCTTCATTGATCATTTTTCTGATGTTTTCAGCGACCAGCTGCCACAGCTGACCCTGTCGTTTTCCAGGACTTAACTAACTCCTTCAGTTTTTTTTAGTTTTTTCTTTTTCTTTTTTAACTTTTTAAGAAGTTACTTTTTAACTCACATGTATAGAGAGTTCTGTCAAGTATATATTTCTTATAGAAATCACTAAGATTAGAGAATCCTAATTAGACTGCCCTGGTGTTTGGATTAAATTAGAATAGGATAACAATTTTGATGTTATCTTTCTAAATTATTGTTAAACCAATCATACTGATATATGAGAAAACAATAGTTCAGAATTAAAATTTAGGACAGAATATAATGAAGCCACATTATATAAAAAGGTAAATAACCTTTTGTCAGCTAACCTTGATTAGCTGGAAACAATATTCAAGTACCAAGCCAACCACCTACTAATAAATGTCGAACTTTACCGTACACAGATAATAATAATATAACATGACTCACTGTCAATGTGTCATGCTGAAGTGTTGGGTTAACAAATATAGTTACTTTTGCTATGTATTACAGTCAACTATCAGAAAAGGATCAATATTAGTTTGTACAGGTGAAATCATTTGCATTATGTTCTTTTTTGTAGACAGGTCATCAAGTTTGAGCTCAACGAGAGCTCACATGTATACCAGATTTCTTAGCATATTTGAATTCCCAAGTGGCTCATATATAGTTATAATAATGGATTATCTTCATACGATCCGACCCATTTCTACCGCTAGTTATATATTCCATACACATGTAGAATTATAACTTTGATAGTTGTGAACTGGTTCAGAGTTGTTTAATCTAAGAATTTCCATCCATATTACTTGGTCTGCAAGTTTTTTTCCAGATCCTCCGCTACTTCTGTATTACAGAAACCAAATAATAAAATAGACTTTCAATAACATTTTTTTTTCTCATAGAACTTGCATTTATTATAAAACCAAAACATATCCAAAGGCCACAAATAAAACTTGTAATCAGCACATTAAAAATAACATTTTTTTACATATATTAAAGAAGATGAATTTATGATCTGCAGATCTATCACCAAAGACTCCATGATCTGAATTTATGATCTTCGAATTTATGATCTGCAGTTCTATCACCAAAGACTCCATGATCTGAATTTATGATCTGTGAATTTATGATCTGCAGTTCTATCAATAAAAGTATAATTACAAGGGCAACAGAAATGGTACTGAGTGTAGATTTTAACAATTACTACAGAAAATTTAGTTACCCTACCCAGTTACAAATATATTAAAACTTGCGTACTTTTGGATTTCATTCTTCCCACAAGAAAAAAAGAGCATTCTAAACACATGCTACAAAATGGTAACCTATAGCAGTTCTAGTGATCGGCTAAAGACAATCATCATTCAACAAATAAACAAAATGCAATGCATTGCAAGGCTGACAGAAGGTCTACTGAATTTTCTAACCGTGTCAGGTAACAAAACAATGAAACAGGCTTCAGAATGGTATATTTCACAAAGTACTTGCACATAACAACCATTTTATTCGAAATTACCATGATCACCCAGTTGTCATAAGCAAAAAAAAAATATTAATCAAAACAAAAGTGGGAAATGAAGGTACAAAGCAACAGCAGACAAGAATAGGAAGGCGGGATATTTATATCGAAAGGAGAGAATCACACTCATAATAAAGGGGAAAAAGAAATTAATAATAGCAACATCTCCACCATTAAAATTGTTTCAGGTACGAAGTTTAAATGTACTAACAAGCTACAAGTATTCTAATAACGGACATAACTAACAATCTGAGAATATGCCATACCACAGAACAAATATGCAGAGAAGCATCCACAAAGTTTGCAAACCGTCAAAGAAGATCATACCTTGCATTCAGCACAACCAGCTGGAGCATTGCTCCCAAACTTTGTTGTATGCCTGAATCACACCCATCATAAGTTCAAGTCATCATCCAAATATAACAAACAAGCAGATATGCCACAATAATTAATCACTTCACTAGAAGGACAAAAAAATATCAACAGTTAATGGAAACAACAATAAACTAGATTGAAGAAGAAAACGTGCAAGTTAAAGAAAACCAAATCAACCATTTTGTACCGGCAACTCCTGAACTGAAATGATACCAAGTCACTATCGATAAACATGGGAAAACATTTGAAATCCAAAAATGCCAATACAGCTTTTCAAGATTTACTAACAAAAGCGCTGTTGATACATCTTTTTTGGTGTGTGTGTGTGTGTGTGTGTGTGTGTGTGTGTGTGTGTTTTGTCGTATAGCTTGCAGTTATGGTTTTGTAAGAGAAGCATTATGACTAGCTGTTTGGGGTGTTTGTTGTGTGGTTGTATATACTAGAGACATGATGCATTGAAGCACACTTCAAGATTGGGGGTGAGCTGTATACTATGTATCCAACCATTTTTTAGTAGTAATAGCGGTTGGGTCTCTTTGTTGAGGTCCCATCCTTTCTCTCTCACAATCCAACCCACTTTACTCCAGAAGATCAACATGTGGAATTCAGAAAGAAACTATAGTTATAATAGCAACAAATAACACAGGTACTTTATGGTAATACAAACCACAAGCTCGAAGCCTTCACTCACCTCATTTCTCCGCATTGATCCTCTCTTCCCAGGGCAGTGACCTCAACCTTCATGCCTCGGCAATCAGCTTCAGTCAGCCTGCCATTAATATGGTCGATTGATCTGATCACGTGTATAGAGGAGTTAGTTAAGTATATTTTTCTCATAGAATCTAACAAGATTTGAATTAGAAATCTAATGTGTTTCTTTTAAATTGCATAGAATACTAATTAGATTGTAGTGATGTTTCGATTAGAACTGGTCCAACTGGATTGCAATGGATGGTTGTTCTTTCTAAAATCAAATAAACAATTCCTACTAATATATGAGATGAGGAAACAATGAAACAATAACTTAGAACTAATTTTAGAATAGTATACAGATGAAGCTACAATGGAACAGGGGATCTAACCTTGTTTTTTCTTCGTAATCAATAATAATTCTGTAAGCTGGTCTTAACTAATAACGAAAGCTGTCTTGAATACTTGAAACATGATATTCCCACATCCAATTCAGCTACCCAACTAACGATAGTGTACAGGTTAAACAAAACAATAATATAACATGACACCTTGTCACACTAGAATGTTGGCTAATAAGTACAATTAATATTTTGATATGTATTTCTGTCAAACTAATAGGAAAGGATCATCCACAACGAGAGAATGGGCTCCTTACCAACTTTCTATTTGGCATGCCTTTTTTTTGGGATATGAGGGAAACTTGGTAAGGCAGGAGGATCCCCGAGCCTGAGTTCGAGTCCCCCACCCTTACCAATAAACCCCGGGTGAGCTGGGTACCCCCTACCCCGCCCAGTCACCAGGATTGTAGGCACATGCGGAGGGTTATTTGGCATGCCTTTATTTCAGTGTTTTTTAGCCCTTACAGTGCAGACTTGAGAAGAACCATGTTTCTTTAACTGTTGTAGTGAAATGGAGTGTAACTATCCCCTGTGTTTCATTAAGAAGAATTAGACGAAACAACAGAAAGTTTCTGAATAACCCTGTTCTCTAGGTGAAATCATTGGTATAGTTCTGTATTGAATAATCTCAAATGGCCTGCCATCAAGTTTTAGCTCATTGAGAGCTCACATGGATTCCAGCTCTATTTCAATTCCCAAGTGGATCCTATAATTTTACAATAGGATCCGTCCCACTAGTGCCCCTAGTATTACAACATGTGCAGAACTCTTAACATGATAGTTGTGAAACTGATCCACATGTTATTTAATCCAGAGTTTCATACCATTTTGCTTGGTCTGCCAGTATTACAAGATCCCATTACCTTCGCACTTACAGGAAAGCAAATTGTACAATATAAATCACACTACTGAATTCATTGATTTCATAATACCATGTTTCTTAATCTCACCCTTCACAGGGAAATGGCCGTTGAACCAAGAAAGACACTTTCATAAACACTTTTCTCCTATAAACTGCATTCCATTATGCAATAAAGGGACAAAGGGTAACAAAAAGTCTTCTGACCGAAACAATAAAAAGGAACAAGAATGTCAATTATATGTATTCGAAAAGACAATTCGGGAGTAAGAGGTATACAATACTATAGGGTTTAGTTTAGGCTTGAGCACTAGGTTTTGTAGGGCAAGCACGGGAGAAAGGAATTGAACTTCTAAGTTGGAAAAAGGCTTAGTAGGCTTCGAAGCCAAAAAATCATCATTAATATTAAAACTAGGGGCCTTTGAACTTTTACAACCACCCTCCTCATGGTTCTCAAAACAAAATATAATTACAAAGGCAATAGAAATGGAACCCATGCATAGTTATTAACAATTAATACAGAATAGTTTACAGGCCCACACAACTCTCGGTTAAATTATATTAAAGTGTGCCTACATTGGGATTTCATTCATCACTCACACACACACACAGACACGCACAAAAGAACATTTCAAAAATATTTGCCAAACACTTAAAGCATTCAAAGATGATGGAAGATAGATTTAGTTAACATGTCACTAACAAAATGAAGATGAAACAAGATACGGGTATCGGGGATGATCCTTGTTGCAGCGGGGAGCTCCAAAGACATAGAAAATCTCTATACAAAGTGAATAATAATACAACACTACATAAATAAAGTAGAGACAAATGGAACAACATACAAGGATTTAACGTGGTTCGATCAATATGACCTACATCCACAAGCGAGAACAGTAGAGAAATTCACTAATTAACAAAAGAGGATTACAAAGAAGTTCACTCTCTAATCTCACCCAACCCACTAGAGAATAATAAAAAGAGTCACTCAATTTTAATTTTCTCTCTTTTCATTATCTCTCTATTTTCTTCTCGAACACCCTCTCTTGTTTCTGTCTGAAGCACTCTTGTCTACCATCCAAAGAATGAGTTGAAGGATACATATAGGAGAAATGGGATAATGGTAAAACGACAAGTCACCGTGTCAGAAGGAGGGCTATGATGCCACGCATCGTCCTCAAATGTTGACTTCAAGGCATGCATAGCTCTCATATCAAAGTCACGCTCTCAAATATAGACTTTAAGCCAATAGCTATCATAATCAAAGTCATATTTTTTAACAAATTTTCACCTTGACTTTGAATATTAAGATCTTCTCTTCACTTTTACTGTCTCGCCAGAAGCCCCTAATGGACTTAACCTCTGTTTTGTTGAACTTCAAGTAATCCAAGGCAATGCTCGAACTCCCGTGAAGATACGAGTTTCGTCATCATATCCGCTAGGCTATATGCAGTACCAATTTTTTTAATCTTGATGACTTTAATTTCTCTGATAAAATAATACCTGATATCTATATGTTTGAATCTTTCATGATATATCTGATGTTTTGTCAAATGTATTACACTCTGACTATCACAAAATATCGTAATAACGCCTTGCTGTAAGCCGAGATCTTCAACCAAATCTTTCTACCAAATAGCTTTTTTTACTACTTCTGTCATTGTCATATACTCTGTCTCTGTAGTAGACAAAGCAACCATCGACTGTAGAGCCGTCTTCCAACTAATAGCTAAAGTGAATACATAACATGTCAGCAATCATCTCTTATCCAAATCACCCGCATAATCTGAATCAAAATAACAATGTATTCTGCAATCTAAATTTGTGCTCATGTCAAAATATAAACAAATATTAGCAGAGCCTCTCAAATATTAAGTATCTATTTCACAGCCTGACAACTTTCCATGCTTATCCATTAACGGACTCACAACACTGACTGCATGTGAAATATCCGAACGGGTGCAGACCATAAAATACATAATGCTTGCTATTGTACTGGTATAATGAACATAAGACATGTACTGCTATTCTTCTTCAGTCTAAAGTAATAAATCTGCTTGAAAGATGAAAATGAGCAGCAACCGAAGTCTTTACAGGTTTAGCTTCAAACATGCCAAATTTCTCCAATACCTTCTTGATATATTTCTCCTAAAATAGAACCAATTTTTGTTATCGTTTGTTCATATGGATCTCCATCCCTAAAATTTTCTTTGCTGCTCCCAGATCTTTTATCTCAAACTCATGCTTGAGCTGAGATTTCAACTCGTTAATTTCTGACATATCTCTAGCTGCAATCAACATGTCGTCAACATAAAAAAAATATACAAAAGACTCATTATCGAGCTTTTATGATAAACACAACTATTATATTTACTCTTAGAGTAACCATGCTTAAACATAAAAGTATCAAATCTTAAATGCCACTGTCTCAGAGACTACTTCAACCCATAAAGAAATTTCTTTGACATGCACACATGATCTTCCCTACCTTTAATAACGAGCCCCTCTGGCTGATGCATAAAGATCTACTCCTTAAGCTTGTCATATAGAAAAGTTATTTTCACCTCAAATTGCTCTAGCTCTAGATTAAAGTGAGCAATCATGACAAGCAACACACGGATTGAGTTATGCTTTATAATTGGAGAGAATACTTCGTTGAAACCCACACCTTCAGTCTGACTGTAACCTTTAGCTATCAAGTGTGCCTTGTATCTAACAAAATTTGTATTCGGAGTTCATTCTTTCTTCATGAAGACCCATTTGCAGTTAATAATTTTTTGTCCCATTTATGGCTCACTAACTCTCATGTCTGGTTCTTGTGAAGAGACTCAATCTCTTTGGTCATCATAACAGTCAAATCTACAGCCTGATTGTCACTAATAGCCTTCGTCTAGGTAGAAGGCTCTAGATTCTCAATTAATTCTGCTATGCTCAAAGTGTAAGTAATTATGTATGCATAAAGTTGAGGAGGTCGAATCTGCCTTTTTATTCTCCTGGTGATAATATTATATTGTTGTCCTTGCGATGTATTAACACCTGAAGTTGAACCTTTGGTAGTATCAACCAGTTCAATATAAGGGCCCTCAAGCACTTCCTTTTGAAGCAAAGTTTTTTAGCTCCACCTGCTTGCTACACTCTTTTTCAATACCTATAATATCAGCAACAAACTCCATTCTCTGGTGAAGCATAAATTTCTCATCAAAAATAACATTCTTATTAATATAAATTTAGGTGACTTGGGATCAGAATATCATAATCTATATCCCTTCACCCTAATAGCATATCCTAGAAAGATAATTATCTTTGCTCTAGATTCAAGCTTACTATCATTAACATGAAAATAAGCAGAGCAACCAAATACCCCTAGATAAGAGTAATTAGTGGGGGCACCAGATTATACCTCTTCTGAAGTTTTAAAATCAATCGTTATAGAAGGAGATTTGTTTATCAAATAATAAGCTATATTGACTACCTCAGTTTAAAAGTCCTTTAACAAATTAGCGTTAGAGAGCATGTATCGAGCTTTCTCTAAAAGCGTTCTATTCATTCCTTCTGCAACTCCATTTTGTTATGGTTATGTTGAACTGTACGATAATGCACAGTAGCTTCATTTTTGCAGAACTAATCAAACCCTGTGGAACAAAAACTCCATTTCATTGTTGGTTCTAAAGCGCTTCACTTTTTTCCTATTTGCTTTTCAGTCATAACCTTCCACTGCTTGAAGGTTGCAAACACATTACTCTTATGCTTCAAAGGATATATCAAAACATTTCTAGAATAATCATCAATCAATATTAGCAGAAAACAAGTTCCACTTTTTGATAGAACTTGAGAGGGACCCCAAATATCTAAATGGATGTAATATAAAATACCATTGATTTTGTGGACACCGCTACTAAAGGAAACTCTATAGTATTTGTTAAAAACACAATGCTCACAAAAGTCAAACTTGCTAGTTTTCTGGCCACAAAACAAATATTTTTTGCTCAATACATCCAGTTCTCTCTTACTCATATGCTCTAACCGTATATGCCACAAATGTGTAGTGTGAGAATCTGAATCCTCTGAGGGTGACACTGCTACGGTACGTATAATAGTGTTACCTTCAAGAACATAGAGGGCATTTACCTTTTTTCACAACAAGAGAACCTTTACTAACTCTCAAAACTCCACATTCAGCCAAAAATCTAAAACCATTAGAATCAAGGGTACCTAAAAATGAGATTATTCTAACTCTAGTATACGTCAGACATTACTGAATATTCGAACAATACCATCATGTATTCTAATTTTAATTGACCCGATACTAACAGTCTTGCAAGCATATTCTTTCCCAATAAGACATTCTCACCGTCAATAGACTGATATGTAACAAATCAATCGCTATGAGAACACATATGGTAGGAACAATCCGAATCAAAAACTCAATCATGTTGTGAATGAGTATTAACACAAACTTAAAGAACTTCATGTGAGCTAGAAGACTGTTCAGTGATAATGGCAACTTTTATTAAAAAATATGACTTTAATTATGACAGCTATTGGCTTAAAGTCTATATTTGAGAGCGTGACTTCAAAATGAGAGCTATGCATGCCTTAAAATCAATATTTGAGGGTTATGCCTAACATCATAGCCCTCCTTCTGATCCGGTGACCTGTCGCTTTGCGACTATCATATTTCTCCTATAAGTAGCATTCAACTCATTGTTCGGACGGTAGACAAGAGTGATTCAAACAGTAACAAAAGTGGGTGTTAGAGAAGAAAAGAGAGAAAGAGAGTTAAAATTGAGTGACTCTTTCTGTGATTCTCCAGTAAGTTGGGTGAGATTAGAGAATGATCTTCTTTGTAATCTTCTCTTGTTGATTACTGAATTTATCTGCTATCCTCGCCCTTGAATATAGGTCATATTGACCGAATCACATTAAATCATTGTGTGTTGTTTTTTTATCTCTACTATGTTTACATAGTGTTGTGTTATTATCCACTTTGTATAGACGTCTTTTGTGTCGGTAAAGCCTCTTCCCACAAAGGCCTCATTAATTCACTGGATTTTTCATAGAAAATAAAATCAGATACATGATATCATCAAAAATTGATTATGTAATTTGGGTAAACAAGTGGCTTCATCGTTGTAATAATCAACTTTGATGGCTTCACCGTTGAAATAATCAACTTTCTCAAAACAACAATAATCTGCATCCCCAACCTCACAGTATCCTGAGTATATAACATGTTTGCATCATAGACCATTATAATTATGTTACTTTAAGTGTTCAATCTGCTTCTAGTGAGTTAACGTAATAAACCGGTTCACAAGATTCATTTCTATTTAAGCTCGGCGATGAAACCAACTTTAAAACGTGTAATAAAAAAAATACAGTTTCGAAGGTGCACGAGAAACGTGACAGGATAATAGATCAGCATTATAATCGTAATCCCCAAACCTACAAAAATTATCATATACATGTTGAGACTAAACATAATCTTAACCGATGCAGCTCATGAATCTTAGCATAAGACACCCAAATTGTTAGCAATCACAAACAAGAAGCCAAAAACATATATATGCATAAATATATATCTACATACCAAGAACAAATTAGAACATAAATCAAGAAATATAATTACCTCGGAACTCGAGCCACATTCCAAAGCCACCATAGATCCCTCAACTAGGGCCACAGAAATTTGTGATGCCGTAAGAACCCTAAACCCTTCACCACTTCCAAAAGCTATTGCTGAAGGAACCTGAACCGTTGAATCCGACCCAACTGCGATTCTTCGCGTTTGAGAGATCCATGGTGATAGCAGTGGCTCGACAAAACCCTAGCGGTGAATTGTTTTGGGGGAGCGGGAACGATAGATGATGTAGAGGAATTTTGAGAGGTTTTCTAGGAGTTT